CTTCTATAATACTTCTCAAAACTTGTAAACTCTTCAGATTATAGATACTCTCTTCAAGAATTCTCACAGAGATTCTCAGAGTGTTAACTCTCAGTGTTATAGAGAGTAGTTATACAGACTTCTTCTCTCTCTCTTTCTTCTTCTCTTATAAGAGATTAGAAGACTCTTCAGTCAATCTCTTTATAATACTCAGTCTGAGTATTTTATAAAGCTTTTCTGTCTTCTCTAGTCTCACTATATCTGTCACTCTGATCTTCTTAATATAGTCAGATCTGTAAGAGAGTCTGTTCACTGAGTTCTTAGTTCTCTTAATATACTCTATCTTGAATCAGAACTCACTCAGTCTCTGAGCTCAGTGAATCTGTCACTGTAAGAGTTTCTTGATTGAAGTAAACTATTATAAGCTGTTATGATCAGTTCTAATAGTAATCACTGTCATGAGACTCTCAAAGTAGTGATATCAGTAACAGAAGAATTTCACTATTATAAGAAACTTCTGATTATAAATATCATATTTAATCTTTACATATTGTATCTTCTATAAGAAAAAGATCACTGAAACTCAGTTCTTATTTAACTATAGTTATGAGACTATTTTCTGAAATTATACAGAAGAAGATATCTGTCTTCAATCTGATTAAAAATAAGAGATTAAAGTGAAACAGTATTACTGTGTTTATAAATATCTATTTTAATCTTATAAAGATTTTATAAGCTTCTGAGATAAGAAAATTCTCACAGCTCTTTCTTCTTAACAATTTTTTCATTCTTTATTTATAGAATAACTTCTTCTTATTTTCACTCTTCAGCATGTCTATAAGAGTTAAGAAGATTCTTATAAATGCAAAGATAAATTATCTATAGAAATTTATAAAGCTTAGAAAGATCTGAATCTTATGAATACTAGTTAACTCTGATTATAATAGAATAGTCTTAAATCTATGAAGATTTCATCTAGATATTATCTGTAGTAATTACATATTCTAGAAAATTAATCTGACAGATACTGAAGTTATACTTTATAAGCTTAATATACAGTTCTATCTTATCTAAGATCTTCAATATACTTTGTATATACTCAGTGTATTCTTTCTTCTTTATAGAGTATATTATCACATTATTCAGATATATTATTATAAAGATATTCAGATATATATAAAGTGTTTTATTAATAAAAGACTGAAATATTATAAAAGTATTAGTCAAATTAAAAGACATCACTAGATATTTAAATAATCTTAGTACAGTTCTAAAAACAGTCTTTCATTCATTCTCAGACTGTATTTACAGCTATATATATATATTAATTATATTCAGTTATGTGAATATGACAGCTTCTGTGAGATAATTAATCACATTCTTAATCAGAGATAGAGAATAGTAACTCTTTATAATCTTGAAGTTTAAATTATAATAGTTTATATATAATCTAAGATCTTTATTCTTCTTCTTCATGAATATTACAGAGGCTTCTGCAGAGGCTTGTAAAGATCAGATAAAGTCATTCTTCAGATTCTTCTTTATATAAGTCTGCAAGATCTCTGTCTTATAATGAAAGAGTTTATAGATTAATTCTCAGAAGAGTTTCTACTCTTCTATCAAATCTATTATCAGATTCTTCTTATAGTAAGATGAAAGCTTAGCTGTCTTTACTGAACTGAATATCTCTGTAAGATCTTAATATTTCTCTGATATCTGAAGCTCAGTTTTCATAACTGTGAAGTTCTCAGATATTCACAAAGTTATTATATAGATGAGCTTGTCTTCTCTAATTAACTCTATAGTATTAACTAATTCTATCTCTATAAGTTATTATTATTATTATTATTATTATTATTCTTTTATTATACTCATATGCAAGCGGAGCTTATGATGAGTTCTTGCGTAATGTTAAATACAGATCAAGTGTTAATTATACAGAAGGAAATACAGATGTTGAGATTATGTCAAGATAACAAGAACATAGAAAAATACAAAGAAGTGATAATTAAATATATATGATAATAACTTCCCAGCTCAGAAATATAGAGTGATTCATTGAAGTGATTTGTACACCTCTGTATTTATTAGAAATCTGAGATGCTTAAGTTCTGAATTTAATGTATTCTCTGCAGGTTTCAAACCCACGCGTCTTAATTTCCCACGCCAAGGCACTACTGAGTGGCCGTATTAATCATTTGATCACCGGGGCCTATCTCTATAAATGAGTCTGTCAACACTGATCAGATGTATAAACCTGACTCATAGACAGTTATATGTAGATTATGTCTTTGAAGTTATACAAGTCTCAAGTACATATTATCTGTGATGTTTATAATAATTATAGTTTTTATAAATCTTCTTCAGATTCTGAAAAGATCTTATAATTCAAAGATAACTTTTGTAAGTCTCTTAGCTCTCAGATCTGAGTTCTCACATTCTGCTTATTATAAGAGTAGATTCTCAGTTTTCATCACTTAGCTCATTTACTCTGTGAGCTTTAAAAACACTATAGTAATCTGAGATTCTGAGTTTATTAATACTTCTTATACTTATAGAGTAGTAGTATCACAGTATAATCTCTCTTTATAAGTATACATTTTCATTGAGAAAGTAACAGATTCAGATGTCAGCTTTAAAACTCTTAAGAAGACTATTACTGACTCTATCTATAATTTCTTAAATTTCTATTTTAATTTATCTGAATAGTTTATACAGAGATGTTCTGATTTAGAATAGATAAAGTAAAGACTCTTTTTCTTAGTCTCTCTGTTATATACTCTATTTATAGAAGCTTATAAAGCTCTCTCTCTCTACTTAGCAGTCAGATATAAATCTCTCTGTATCTTATTATCTTTTCTTAGTAAATCTATTCTCTGTTATTCTAGCTCTTACAGAGCTGATCAGTGATTCACTCTTTATAGATCTGTGACTCTCACAGTGATTTATAAATAATAAATAAGAGTCATCAGTTTCTTCAGAGTCAAGAACTTAGAGTCTTACTTAATAAGCTTATTCTATATATTTTTATTCAGTCTTTTTATAAATATCATTATTCAGATCTTGTTTCAGAGCTCTGTTTTCACAGATCTTAATTTGTATTATAATTTTATAAACTACTGTAAGTAGTCTTTATCAGATTTCTTATCTCTTTTTCTAATATTAATAATCATAGTTCAGATATTCTCTATTCAGCTTACAAAGTCTTTTAACTTATTCTCTAAATAGATCTTGAGAACAGATCAGTAGAATCTCTTATAATCATTCTCTAAATAATTCAGTCAGTTCTTAACTTCAGTATAGTAGAGATCTGTTATTATATAAATAATAGCTTCTTTATCTTTTATATTACATAGCTGAGCTTATGAGTCAATTTCAAATACAAACTTATAAAAGCTTTTATAGATTATAATTCAGTAAGTGATCTTAAGTAATTACAGCTTAAGAAAGTTTCTTTTTAATTTATAAGTATCTCTGAAGATCATGTTTAGAGACTCAGTTTAAGAGTGTTTATAGATAGTAAGTATTTCTTATAGAAAAATAGCTTGATTCTGTAAAAGATACTTAAGAATATTCTTTACTAAGATTAATTTATTTATAAATTCAGAGAATTTCTCTGTTATAGATATAGAGAATAATATTCTATAAGTAATTAATAAGTTCTCTGAGACTTCTTTTACAGAGATTATTCATAATTCAGATAACTATTTCTGAGTTTCTGCAGTAGAGTTTACAGAGATTGAAGTATATGAGTTTCTAGTTCTTTTAATTATAATAGATGATTACTGACTGACAGAGCTTGAAATATAAGAATAAGTACTCACAGACAATTATTCAGATGTTTGCAGCTTGATATAATATATACTATTAACTACTAGAAGTATTTGTGATAGAAAGATAAAATATAGAGATTAAATGTATAATAGTATTCAAGCTGAGTTATGAATAGTTGTAAGAATAAGTGCTCGCAGGTGATTATTCGGGTGTTTGCAGCTTGGCATGATATGTACTGTTAACTACTAGAAGTATTCATGATAGAAAGATAAAATATAGAGGTCAAATGTATAATAGTATTCAAGCTGAGTTATGAATAGTATTCATGAACTCCAGTCTATATAGTTGTGTGTAGCCAAGGGCCGCTAGCTCTATTAGTTACATGAGAGATAGAAATAAAGGTAAAGAATCTGTAAGAAGTGAGATTTCTTACATACTTCTCTCTCTCTAAGACTTCATTCATGAAGTCTTTCACTGAGTAACTTCATAGAATCAGCTCAGCACTGCAGTGATACTCACTAAAAACTCTTCACATCTATAAAAACCTCAGTGAGGAAAAATCCCTTGTTATTATAAAGAGAAAAGAGTCTGTCACTCAGTTTCTTATTCTGTGAGATTCTTTGTGATCTACAGATTCTTCTCTGACTATTACACAGATTCATCTCACATCTTTCATATAGAAGAGTTTCAGTTGACTCTCAATTATTTTCATAAGATTCTTATATAATTATTACACAGATTCATCTCACAGATGAATCACTTTCTGTGAGATCACTCTTATCAAAGAGAAATATTTATAAGTTAATCTTTCACTCATTCTCACAAATCATTATTCTTTAACACTGTAGAATTGTGAGGAATTTTTCATTCTTTTATCAACTCTGTAGAATTGTAGAATTAAGATATTCACAGTCTGCAATTACTCTTTATAGTCACATAGAAAGATTCAGATCTGTGATTCATAATCACTCTTATTTACTAGAGTGATCTGACTATTCTGCAGAATCACTCACAGTGTAAATAAATCTCTCTAGAGTAGTATAAATATTTCAGATCTGTCTGCAGAATCTCATCTTCTTTTTTCTTTTTCTGTAACAGCTCTTATTTCTATAAACTGTGAGTATTCTTATTCATCTATGAAGTGTTTTCACTCAGATGACAGAGAGAGAGTGTTTCTGACAATATTCATATATTAATTCAAGAACTTCTCAAGAATAAAAATTTTTTTAATTCTAATCTCTTTACAAATGATGTCTGATCATTATCAAGCTTCTTATGAGTATTCTCACAACTTCTCTGATCACTTTTTATCAGCTGATGAAGCAGAAGTGCTGCTGTTCATGACTGTGTCTTCATCTCTCTCAGTCTCATCACCACACCTGATCTTCAGGCCAGCAGCCAACTCTCTGCCTTCCTCAGGCCAGCTTCTGACTCTAAGCAGCACAGTTCCTCTCTTTGCTGTAAGTCTTCTCATAAGTAATTTCTTACAGATTCTAGCTAACAGTTCTTGCAAAGCTCTCAGTGTTATCAGTGTCTTCTGCAGTTTCACAGATCTATAATCATCTCTCTTCTACTTATGCAATCTCTGATAAGGTATATGCAAATATATCTAGATTTTTTATCAATGATTCTTACACTGCAGTGTATTTCTGCAATCTCATTGTCAATGAGAGATGAGTTCTCAGATACTCACAAAATCTGAGTAATCAAGACAATGTGAATGCTATAAATTTGTGACAGAAGTTAATCTGAATAGATGAGTCTTCTCTCTGCATTCTAATTATTTTCAGGCTGAATACTTCAGTACAACTGAGAGAGCAGACACAGCTTCATGAGAGATATCTGGTCACATATATAGATAGTCAGTCTTCAAGACTCTGCTGCAACTGCACACACTCTGATATCTGACTTCTCTGAAGTCTGTGCATTTCTGACAGTCTTTGTATTAAATACAACAATTATCTGTATCACAGGTATAATACTCTCTACTTCTTTGAAGAAGGAAATTGATAGTTATGAGAGAATTAAGTGTCATGAATATTAAGAGTGTGAGTATAAGTTTTCTTTATTTTTTCTTTATTAGTCTCTAAATTGTGTTCACAGCCCTGTTTATTTTTCTTGTTTTTTAACTTTAATAAGAACATGATTTCTTCTTTTCTTATGTATGCTGCAGACTGTTCATCTCAGTAGAAACTCATCATCTTATAGACTAGAATTTATAAATAACAGTGTTAATATCTTTATCATAATCAGGTTCTTAATAAAGATTATGTCATTCTGACTTATCAGAATTTACAGTATAAAAGTCATGTCTCAGCTTCTGCAGATATCTTATCTGCCTGAATGATTTCTAAGTGAACTCATTCATCTTGTCAGAATACTCTTATCACTGAATCTTGAATCAGAGCTTATGATCTCACTTCTCTGAGTTAATAATTTCTTTGATCTGATATTCTCTTTCACTCTCTAGTACTTTATGAACAGAGTGATGAGTCATAGAATTCTCTTCTAAGAATTCCTTATATTTACAGAGTAAAGAGACATGAAAAATATTATATATCTATAACTCAGATAATAGTTTTAATCTATAGAACTGTGAACTAACTTTCTTCATAATCTTATAAGACTCTGTCTATAAGAGATTCAGCTTCTTACTAGATCTCTATATAATGATGTTTTCTAGACTTAGTCAGACTCTATTATCTTTCTTAAAACTCTTTATAATATACTTAAAGTCATAGTATTTCTTCTGATACTCTTAGATCTTTCTCAAGAATTCACAGACTTTCTCTCAGATATTCTGAATTCTCTTAATCTGTTCACAGATATTATCACACTCTATAGTATACTCTCACAGATTTATCAAGATTATCTGTGAATAAGTCTTAGTAAGTATCTCAAAGAGGGTTTTATCTGTACTGACATGTTTTAAGTTATTGTATATAAACTTTATAAGTGATAATTAATACACTCAGTTATTCTGATTGTAATTGACAAAGTATCACAGATACTGTTTTAATATACTCATCAGATATTCTATCTGATTATCTGTCTGTTGATAAAAAGTCATGCTTAGATCTCATAAGATCTTCAGTATAATTATCAGATTAGACTAGAACTCTTCTATGAAGATTGATTCTCTATCTGAGATAATATTTACAGATAACTCATGTAACTGAATCACATTGCAGATGAAGATGTAAGTCAAATTCTTTAACTTCAAGTTCTTGTGAGTGAATATAAAGTGTGTTATCTTAATGAAGTGATTCACTATCATCAGCACACTGTCAAAGCAGGCATCATATATGTTCTTACTTTCAGAGAGACTTATAAGAGTATTCATTTCTAGCTGTTTTCAAGGTTTCTGCAGAATGAGTAGAGAAATAAGTTCTTCATATAATCTGAACTGTATTATCTGTGAATCTTGATAAATAGTATAAGAATTCACTATTTTCTTCACAAGTTCTCACATCTTCAGTCAGAAGTATTTTCTTATGAGCAACTCATGAGTTCTAGTATCTGTAAAATGACTCACTAGAGAAGAGTTATAATACCTTTTAATAAGTTCTATACATAGAAACTCATTTACAGGCATATAAATCCAGCTCTCTTTTCATAAGAGATTATTTAAGTCTCTTCAATTCTTTATTTCTGCAGAGTTAGTCTCTGCTATAAGCAGTTTCTGAATATACTGAGTATATTCATTCTTCAGTTACAGTTCAGACAATCTGAATAGAAGATCTTACAAAGACTTATACTCTGTTTCTTCTTATATCAGGTCTTTCACAGTGCTTCTCAAAGCCTGCAAACTCTTCAGATTATAGATACTCTCTTCAAGAATTCTCATGAAGATTCTCAGAGTGTTAATTCTCAGTGTTATAAAAAGTAGTTATACAGACTTCTTCTCTCTCTCTTTTCTCTTCTTTTATAGAGAATTAAGAGACTCTTCAGTTAATCTCTTTATAACACTCAGTCTAAGTATTCTGTGAAGCTTTTCTATCTTCTCTAGTCTCTCTGTGTCTGTCACTCTAATCTTCTTAACATAGTCTGATCTGTGAGAGAGTCTGTTCACTGAGTTCTTAGTTTTCTTGATATGTTCTATCTTGAATCAGAACTCACTTAGTCTCTGAGCTCAGTGAATCTGTCACTGTGAGAGTTTCTTGATTGAAGTAAACTATTATAAGCTGTTATAATTAGTTCTAACAGTAATCACTGTTACAAGACTCTCAAAGTAGTGATATCAGTGATGAAAGAATTTCACTATTATAAGAAGCTTCTGATTATAAATATCATAGTTGATCTCTGTGAGTTATATCTTCTATGAGAAAAAGATCACTGAAACTCAGTTTCTATTTAACTGTAGTTATAAGACTATTTCTGAAATTGTAAAGAAGAAGACATCTGTCTTCAATCTGATTAAGAGTAAGAGATTAAAGTGAAACAGTATTACTGTGTCTGTGAATATCTATTTTAATCTTACAAAGACCTTATAAGCTTCTGAGATAAGAAAGTTCTTACAGTTCTTTCTTCTTAACAATCTTTTCATTCTCTATTCACAGAATGACTTCTTCTTATTTTCATTCTTCAGCATGTCTGTAAGAGTTAAGAAGATTCTTATAAATACAAAGATAAACTGTCTATAGAAATTCACAAAGCTCAGAAAGATCTGAATCTCATAAATACTAGTTAGCTTCAGTCATGATAGAATAGTCTCAATCTGTGAAGATTTCATCTGAATATCATCTGCAGTGATTATATATTCTAGGAAATTAATTCAGCAGACACTGAAGTTATACTTTGTGAGCTTAATATACAGTTCTGTCTCATCTAAGATCTTTAACATACTTTGTACATACTCAGTGTGTTCTTTCTTCTTTGTGAAGTACATCATCACATCATTCAGATATATTATTATGAAGACATTCAGATATATATAAAGTATTTTATTAATAAAAGACTGAAATACTGTGAGAATATTAGTCAGATTAAAAGACATTACTAGATATTCAAACAATCTTAGTACAGTTCTAAAGACAGTCTTTTATTCATTCTCAGACTATATTTGCAGCTATGTATATATATTAATCACATTCAGTTGTGTGAATATAACAGCTCTCATGAGATAGTTAATCACATTCTTAATCAGAGACAGGAAATAGCAGCTCTTTATTGTCTTGAAGTTCAGATCACAGTAATCTACACATAATCTGAGATCTTTATTCTTCTTCTTTACAAATATCACAGAGACTCTCACAAAGGCCTGTGAAGATTGAATGAAGTCATTCTTCAGATTCTTCTTCACATAGATCTGTAAGACCTCTGTCTCATGATAAAAGAGCTTATAGATTGATTCTCAGAAGAGTTTCTACTCTTCTATCAAATCTATTATCAGATTCTTCTTATAATGAGAGAGAAGCTCAGCTATCTTTACTGAGCTGAACACCTCTGTAAGATCTCAGTATTTCTCTGATATTTGAAGCTCAGTTTTCATGACTGTGAGATTCTCAGACACTTGTAAAGTCATTATATAGATAGGCTTATCTTCTCTAATCAACTCTACAGCATTAACTGATTCTATCTCTGTAAGTGAGTCTGTCAATACTGATCAGAAGTATAAACCTGACTCACAGACAGCTATGTACAGATTGTGTCTTTAAAGTTATACAAGTCTCAAGTACATATTATCTGCAATGTCTGTGATAATCACAGTTTCTATAAATCTTCTTCAGATTTCAGAGAGATCTTGTAATTCAAAGATAACTCTTATGAGTTTCTCAGCTCTCAGATCTGAGTTCTCACACTCTGCTTATTATAAGAGCAGATTCTCAGTCTTTATCTTTCAGTCTATTCACTTCACAAGCTTTAGAGACATCACAGTGACCTGAGATCCTGAGTTCATTAATACTTCTCATGCTTGTGAGACAGCAGTACTGTAATGCAGTCTCTCTCTATGAGCAAGCATTTTCATTGAGAGAGTAACAGATTCAGGTGTCAGCTTCAAGACTCTTAAGAAGACTGTTGCTGACTCTGTTCACAACTTCTCAAATTTCTATTTTAATTTATTCAGATAGTTTGCATGAAGATGTTCTGATTTAGAACAGATAAAGTAGAGTTTCTTTTTCTTAATCTCTCTATTATATACTCTGTTCACAGAAGCTTATAAAGCTCTCTCTCTCTACTCAGTAGTCAGATATAAATCTCTCTGTATCTTATCATCTTTTTCTGACAAATCTGTTTTCTGTTGTTCTGGCCCTCACAGGGCTGATCAGTGATCTGCTCTCTATGAGTCTGTGACTCTCACAGTGATCTGCAAGTGATGAATGAGAGTCATCAGTTTCTTCAGAGTCAAGAGCTTAGAGCCTTGCTCAATGAGCTTGTTCTGCATATCTTTATTCAGTCTCTTCATAAACATCATTATTCAGATCTTGTTTCAGAGCCCTGTTTTCACAGATCTCAATTCATATCATAATTTCATGAAGCACTGTGAGTAGTCTTTATCAGATTCTTCATCTCTTTTTCTAATATTGATGATCACAGCTCAGGTGTTCTCTGTCTGACTTATGAAGTTTCTCAACTTATTCTCTAGATAGGTCTTGAGAATGAATCAGTAGAATCTCTCATAATCATTCTCTAGATGATTCAGTGTCAGGAAAAAGAGGTTATACACTACTGAACGCCATCAACATCGTATTACTGAACGCCACCAACATCGTATTACTACAATATTTCTCATCATCATCAGCTTACTACAATGCTTGTCTAATACTTGCTTATGCTAGCTCTCTTGACTCGCACATATATTTTACTATAAATAGCTCCATCTTTTGTATGAAATAGATATATTAGATAGTGTACAGATAATAGAACAAGCAGATCTTGATACAGATAAGATTCATATGTCTTCAACATATTCATCTGTGACACCCAATCCGACAGTTATGAGCCTGGTAAGCAGCATCTGAAGAGAAGTGCAATAAACCACTGATCACAATCCTCATTTGAATTTGACAACAATCATTTGAACTGAGAAGATTGATCCTCATTCATATACAGTCTGATCAACTCGACTGTTATATTATATCAGATTCCTGTCCTTATTTGAACTGATAACTATCATTCAAACTGAGATGATAGATCCTCACTTGTATACATTCTGAAATACTCAACTGATATACACCCTGAATTCTGATCATATCTATCCTCAAATACTTGAACTGATTCCTCAATCCATTCAATATAACTGATATGACAGACAAGACAATGTCTAGTGCAACAGTACACCTTAGCATTCCTGGAGATTGGAAACTTTGATACAAGCATATGCTAGGATATGCAAAGGACAAGAAGGTATCAGACTTCATCAATCTTGATAAACCTGATATCTTCTCTGAACTAGAAGAACCTCTGGAACCTGAGAGTCCAGAAGAAGCCACCGCGGAGGCCAAGATAGTATATGACATCAAGGTCACTGCATGGAAAATCAAATATATGAAATATGAGAAATTGAATGAAGGTATGACAAAGATACGAGATGTCATATGGAGAACAGTGAATGCCACAGAGCTACAACATGTACACAGTGAGAATGATGATGTGAAGGAGATTATCCATTCATTAAGAGATTGTCTCTCACCCATGACCGCGGACTATCAAGATGATGTGAGAACCTGATACCATGATCTCTGCAAAGCACTGAAAAACAGAGGTATAGAGAAGTGGTTAAATGACTGATCACTCATTGAAGATGATATCAAAGAGGCAGATATAGCTGGACAGTTCAACTTGAAGAAAGATTTCTTAAATGCAAACCTAGCTATTGATGCAGATTATGCACAAGCATGGGCTAAGAATGTCCAACATGATAAAGATGTTATATCTTTGATAGAGTTAGTTAAGAACTTCAAGGAACGGTATAGAGAAATGGGTATTCTCAAAGAAGATAAACCTATGAACTTTGCTACCCTTAATGAAAGACCTCAGCAATCATCACCAGCAACATTCAGAAACTGCATCTGCGGAGCCTGTCACTGATACGCCCAGTGCTACTATCTCAATTCATCAAGAAAGCCACCTGGATGGAAGGAAAATGAGGAGAAGAGAACTCAGATCAATCAAGCTCTTAAAAATCAAGGATTGAAGAGACACGTTGATCGTGCGATATCTAGAGATTCATCCACAAATACAGATATGGTAGATGCCAATGAAGCAGTCATAGAAGGAATGGTTCTGAAGCAATCAGTTCCTCAATCTATCAATCATCAATCTATTGATCAGCAAATCTGAAAAATATCAATGAACTCTTCACATTCTCACTCCTACCTCTGAAACTCCTGGATCTTTGATACTGGCACAGAACAGCATATATGCAATAATCAAACATATTTTCTATTCTTTAAACCTGTGAACAAGAATACAGAAGTCTATACAGGTGATTCCAGCACTAAAGTTGAAGATTATGAAACTGTTAGAACTATCATGATAAATGAAGCAGAAAAGCAGTTCAATGTCAAACTCATCAATGCAGCTTACATCCTGAATTTCCATACAAATATCATTGCATGGAAACCGTGTTTCCATATAGAAGGCATCTATTATGATGGAAAAGACTTCAGATTGTGAAAACACACAGATAATACAATCTTTGCACGTGTTGAAGTATTTGAGGGGTTGCTAGTTACAGAATATAGTGATATAACTGTTTTCTCAACTATCTTGAAAAAATCCACTACTGAAGCCGATGCAGTTATCACACCACACACATCTAACATCACTATATCTGAAAAAACAATATCTTCAAATTCTTCAACTTCTACAAATCCTTCTTTCAACCTGCCAATACGCATAAAACCTTCTCAAAAACCTAAGATCTCTATAGCTACTCAATCAACATGGCATAAGAGATTAGAACATTCATTGAAAATCATCATACAAAAGCTTGCAAATGATGCAACTGGTGTTCAAATCATCAATCTAGAAGATGCTGCAGATGAGCTTATCACTGAGCTTTGTAAACCCTGTCATCTATCTAATGCAAAAAATCAAATATCTAGACATCTCCACATTAGATCTCAAATATCATTCAAACACCTACATGCGGATATCACACATGGCCCTACACAGTGCTATAATGGTGAGTGTTATCTCATACATTTCATGTGTGATTATCTACATTTCCATATAGCTATAACAGCTATCTGAAAATCAGATATTCAAAAAGCTCTTAAGCAAGCTATCAATTGGATTAAATATCAATTCAACTGTACTACAAAGATCATTCATATCAACAATGATACTGCAATCAAGGAAGCAGTTGATTTCATAAATTGAGTGAATGATGAAGGCCTAGAGGTGGAGTATTCTTCAGAGTATATTCATGAACAAAATGATGCAGCAGAGTGAGCAGGAGCAATATTATTAACAAAGACAAGAACTCTACAGATAGAATCCCTTCTATCACAATCACTATTCCCTGAGATTGCACTTGCTGCCACCTACCTAGCGAATTGAACCCCTACTAGAATCCTAGATTGAAAGTCATCTCTACAAGCATTGAAAGAATTCCTACAAATCAAACCTCACTTCTATGCTCATCTTCAAATCTACGGATGTCACACCTATGCAAAGATACCAGATGAAGTCCTCAATAGGAACCGCTCTCAGAAGCTAGATCCCCGAGCACATATTGAATATCTAGTTGAATATGATTCAACAAACATCTATTGAATTTGGATTCCACACTTAGAACAGGTGATAAGAGCAAGAGATGTGATGTTTGATGAGAATAGGAAATTCAACTCAGAAGACCTCCTACATTGAAAAGACAATAAGAGCTTGAGTATCTAAGGAGGTGGAGCTTCTTCATATGGAAGTTCGAGAACCATCGATGACTCCTACCAATCAATTGAAAGAGATTATAGATGCAGATATTGATGTTTTTCGCCCTGAAGAAAATGCTCAAAGCTCTGAAAAAATAGGGGAGGAGAATAATGAGCATAAACACCATGACGTTTCGATCCTTCCTACACCAGATAAGAAAAAAAAAAAAAAAAAAAAAAATCAACATTGAGAACATTAGGCTTCACCTCTATGCCAGAGGATCGATGTCTCTTCTCTAATGATCAATTAATCATCTTCTTCTATGTGAATGATATCATCATCCTATCGCGACGAGAAGATTCAAAAGAAAGAGATCAACTAATCAAAGATCTTAAAAACATCTACGAGATCCAACAGATGGGAGATTTGAAATGGTTTCTCAACATGCGAATAATACGCGATCGCCTCAACTTGAAGCTCTGGCTATGCCAGGATGCCTATATTGATAAGATAGTTGATACATATCATCTCACACACGCCCGCAAGGCATATACCCCACTAACTGGTGCTCCATTAGAGCCTTTTAATGAGCCAGCTAGATCTGCAAAAATCCATCATTATCAACAATGTATCAGCTCCTGCATCTACTCAGTGGTGATGACTCGCCCTGATATCACATATGCAGTGGGTAAACTAGCTATGTTCATGACAAATCCATTGAAACACCACTCATCAGAGGTGGATAGAATGATATCTTATCTACACAATACGAAGAATCTCGCTATCCAATATGATGGTAACATTGGCAGACCTCTACAACTTGATCTCAAACCTGATATCATTGAAGCTGCCAGTGATGCCTCTTTCACAGATAATCCGGATCACTGCTCTACACAAGGATATATCTTCAAACTATTCAGTGAGGCCGTTGATTGAAAATCAAATAGGCAGACAATCATAACTACATCTATCACAGAAGCTGAGCTTGTTGCTATCTCACAAGCTGACAAGGAGTCTATCTGGTGGGATAGGTTCTTCCAACATATTCAATTTGAACCTGGCCACAAGATCTGTATTCAATGTGATAACTGTCAAACTGTTGGCATTCTTACAAAGGAAGACCCCTCTATAACCACAAAGCTCCGCCACATTGATATATATGGAAGCTGGCTCTGAGAACGTGTTCAATCCGGCGATATTACAGTTGATTGAGTGCCTACGGCCCAGATGCCAGCGGATGGCCTCACTAAGGCTCTGCCATGCCAGAAACATACAGAATTCGTCAAGATGCTAGGCCTAGTTGATATATCAGATATCATCAAGGCGCAAGCAGATTAAATGATCTATCTTGATGTAATCTCTACAGATTCATCTACACTCTTTTTGTTGCAGCTTCATTTACACTTTCATTTACATGTTACATTCGCTGAAGGGGGTGTGTCAGGAAAAAGAGGTTATACACTACTGAACACCACCAACATTGTATTACTGAACACCATCAACATTGTATTACTACAATATTTCTCATCATCATCAGCTTACTACAACGCTCGTCTAATACTCGCTTATGCTAGCTCTCTTGGCTCGCACATATATTTTACTATAAATAGCTCCATCTTTTGTATGAAATAGATATATTAGATAGTGTACGGATAATAGAACAAGCAGATCTTGATACAGATAAGATTCATATGTCTTCAACATATTCATCCATGACACCCAATCCGACATTCAGCCAGTTCTTGACTTCAGTGTAATAGAGGTCTGTCATTGTGTAGATGACAGCTTCTTCATCTTTCATATCACACAGCTGAGCTTGTGAGTTAATTTCAAATACAAACTCACAAAAGCTTTTATAGATTGTGGTTTGATAAGTAGCCTTAAGTGATTGCAGCTTAAGAAAGTTTCTTTTCAGTTCACAGGTGTCTCTGAAGATCATGTCTAGAGACTCAGTTTGAGAGTGTTTACAGACAGTAAGCATTTCTTATAGAAAAATAGCTTAGTTCTGTGAAAGATGCTCAAGAATGTTCTTCACTAAGATTGATTTGTTCATGAGTTCAGAGAGTTTCTCTGTCACAGATGCAGAGAATGATGTTCTGTGAGTAATTGATAAGTTCTCTGAGACTTCTTTTATAAGAGTTATTCATAATTCAAGTGACTGCTTCTGAGTGCCTGCAGTAGAGTTCACAGAGATTGAAGTATATAAGTTTCTAGTTCTTTCAGTCATAACAGATGATTGCTGACTGACTGAGCTTGAAATGTAAGAATAAGTACTTACAGATGATTATTCAGGTATTTGCAGCTTGATGTGATATGTACTGTTAACTACTAGAAGTATTCATGATAGAAAGATAAAATATAGAGATTAAATATATAATAGCATTCAAGCTGAGTTGTAAATAGTATTCATGAACTCCAGTCTATATAGTTGTGTGTAGCCAAGGGCCGCTAGCCCTATTGATTACATGAGAGATAGAAATAGGGGTAAAGAATCCGCGAGGAGCGGGATTTCTTACAATAGTATTCATGAACTTCAGTCTATATAGTTGTGTGTAGTCAAGGGCTGCTAACTCTATTGATTACATAAGAGATAGAAATAGAGGTAAAGAATCTGTGAGAAGCGGGATTTCTTACAATCTTATAAAGACTTATACTCTGTTTTCTCTTATATCAGATTCTTCACAGCAGTTCTTAAAGTCTGTAAATTCTTCAGATTATAGATACTCTCTTCAAGAATTTTTACAGAGATTCTCAGAGTGTTAACTCTCAGTATTATAGAGAGTAATTGTACAGACTTCTTCTCTTTCTTTTCTCTCTTCTCTTATAGAGAGTTAAGAGACTCTTCAGTCAATTTCTTTATAACACTCAGTCTGAGTATTCTGTGAAGCTTTTCTATCTTCTCTAACTTCTCTATATCTATTATTCTGATCTTCTTAATATAGTCAGATCTGTAAGAGAATCTGTCTGCTGAGTTCTTAGTTCTCTTGATATACTCTATTTTAAATCAGAACTCACTCAGTCTCTGAGCTTAACAGATCTGTTACTGTGAGAGTTTCTTAATTAAAGTAAACTATTATAAGCTGTTATAATTAGTTCTAACAGTAATTACTATTATAAGGCTTTTAAAATAGTGATATTAGTGATAGAAGAATTTCACTATTATAAGAAGCTTCTGATTATAAATATTATAGTTAATCTTTATAAGTTACATCTTCTATGAGAAAAAGATCACTGAAACTCAGTTCTTATTTAACTATAGTTATAAGACTAT